TTTAAAGACTCTTCATATGAAACCTTTCCTATTACCTGACCAGTAAAAGAAACGTTTTTTACATGAAATAGATTGTCGATCTTCTCTACCTTATAAGAATATATGATATCCATTGTTTTAATTTCATCACTGAACGACCATGCCATAATGGTAAGTATATCTTCTATCATGCTTCTCGACAAATTTGTAGATGACACCAGTGAGTAATCATGTTCTATATTTCTTTCGTACGATCGTGCCAAGCATATGCTATTTACATCAAACTATTTAGAAAAAAAACAGAAAATATTGCTTAATCAATGATGTAATTCGGTTTATCGGTTTATATAGTCACATTAGAGAAAGTATTGTTGATAAGTAGTATAGGATCAGGGGCGGATCCATTTTTAAAAAGGGGATTCCAACCATATGTCCTCATTCAAAAGCACTGATCGTGAAAAAAAGGGGATTCAAACCCTCGGATCCCCCCCCTCCCTTGATCAGCCACTGACGTTTGTTGATCTTGACTTATCAACGAAATGTTTTGAGATCAGTGGTACCTCCTATATATTAGAATTCGTACAATATTTTTCACTATGAAATATATATAAGGCAAAAAATTATAATATTTGTGTGCATCACCATCACAAAACAATAAATTAAAAATTGATGCATAAAAAGTAACTCAGTCAGGGACATTGTAAGAACGTAATGTAAACAAAGACATTGCTCTATTTGGTTTCTTTGAAAATACTAAGTTGATAAACAAATATCATAGCTAATTCAAACCATATACCCAAAGTAATATTTACATTGGAATTATTGAGTTTTTTAACATGCGAAGTTTTCAAGTTAGTTCGTTTCTGTGTGTGTTGCATTTTAGTGTTGAGTTTCGGTTGTGTCGTTGTTCTCCTCTTATATTTGATGTGTTTCATATTTTGTGAAAAACCACACTGAATCTACCAGAAAATATACTGAAGATGATATTATCAAAATGTTGGACTTTTTGATATATATTTGTTGAGTTTGGAGGATTTATATTTCAACAGACAGTCGGTATTCCAATGGATACTAATTGTGCACCCCTACTAGCCGATTTGTTTTTGTACTCGTATGAAGCAGAATTCATTCAGAATCTTCTAAAAGACAAAAAGAAAAAGCACCTTGCGATATTCTTTAATTTTACTTTCCGATATATTGATGATGTCCTATCATTGAATAACCCATATTTCAGCCAATACTTACATCTCATATATCCCAATGAACTTGAAATTAAGGATACTTCTGATACTAGAAGGACTGCTTCATACCTTGATCTCTTCCTCAATATTGACACAGATGGACGACTTCACACGAAAGTCTATGATAAACGGGACGATTTCAACTTTCCAATTATCAATTTCCCATTTCTCAGCAGTAACATACCCTCTGCCCCTTCGTATGGTGTTTACATATCTCAGTTGATACGTTATGCTCGTGCATGTTCACACTATACGGACTTCATATACAGGAGTGTGCTCCTAACGCAGAAACTGCTCCAACAAAGTTATGAGGAGGACGGATTAAAAATGACACTCCGTAAACTTAACGAACACCATCTTGATTGGTCGATCCATACGATGTGTCTTTGTCCAAAATAACTAAGGACATTTTTACCACGTGTTAGATTGTGGTTTGACATTACGTCGTCTGATCTTTTAATTACCGAACGTGACTTATTCCCGATTGTGACTGTTTTGCTGAGTATAAATTCGCATTGCTATAAGACGTGCCACGGTACTTTTCTATCCAAAATTCATGTATTTAGTTTTGATGTTATATTTGTTATTCTCATCGGATTTTGTCAAATGTCTTATCGTTTGTAGTTGTAAATCTTATTTTTTTCTGTTGTATTCGTGTGTTATGTTAAAGATAATTAATCACCCAGTTCATTAATTAGATTTTAGTTTAGGTCAACTAAATTTATACGATATATTTGGTTTACAGTTTGATTTAGAAGAAACACCGACATAGCTAGATGATACTATTAATTATCTAATTACTACCACATTTTATATTAATTAGTATTGTAATTTTCATTGTTATTAATAAATGTTATATGAGTATTATAAACCAAATCTTGAATTCTATCCTAATTCTATCCTATTTTGGGGAAATTTCAGAAATTCAAATGTGACGTCACTTTTTTTGCGTTGCTCTCTTTGGCTAACTCGGCTGTGAATTTTTATGTGCTGGTTTATGTTGTTTTATGTATCCGTTTTTATTCTGTAGTTAGTCACCACTTCGCTGTTATCATGTATATCTATTATATAGTAATTTTTATAAATTTACTGTTTGCAAAAGTATGAATTATTCTAAACACTAAGGATTTTCTTATCCCAGACATATAACCTTAGTCTGTATTTGGCACAACTTTTTGGAACTTTAGGTCCTCAATGCTGTTCAACTTTGTACTTGTTTTGGCTTTCGTAATTTTTTGATCTGGGCGTCACTGGTTAGTCTTGTGTATTAAATTTTAAACCTGGTACCTTCTGTTAGCTATTATTCGTATGTTTCTCTGTCCTATATGTTCTCCCATTTATTTGTATTGTAGTCCTGTAATGTAATGTTGTCATTTTAATGTTGTATTTAACATTGCCATAAAAGCGGGAGGTTTGGCAAGCCACAAAACCAGGTTCAACCCGCAATTTTTCTCTTAAAATGTCCTGTACCAAGTCAGGAAAATGGCCATTGTTATATTATAGTTCGTTTCAGTGTGTGTTACATTTTAATGTTGTGTTTCTGTTGTGTCGTAGTTCTCCTCTTATATTTGACGTGTTTCCTTCAGTTTTAGTTTGTAACCCGGATTTGTTTTTTTCTCAATCGATTTATGAATTTCGAACAGCGGTATACTACTGTTGCCTTTATTTTTCCATCAGTTTTAATTTTTAACCCGGATTTGTTTTTTTCTCAATCGATTTATGAATTTCGAATAGCGGTATACTACTGTTGCCTTTATTTATTTAAGAAAGTACTTACTAATTTATAAATAGGCCGTTTTTGAAATACGGTCTGTTGATTGGTTCGTTTAGAATAAAGGTTGCAAGATTTAACTTTCATAAGACTTCAACCGTTTAGAATGTAAATTGTATAAAATTGTATCTTTCATCCTTTGAACTTGAAATTGAAATAGAAACGATTATTCGCTTTATTCAAGGAATAAATGTAATATTTTTTCAGTTTATGAAAAAAATAACAAATGTAGTGCACACTGAATAATCCGCGTAGGTCACCGTACGATCATTTAAATCTGAGGGAGTGATTTTTTTTTTTTCTAAAATATATTCTGATGCCCAAATTTGAAGAAACAAAACTTTTCATCTGGGAGGACACAAATATTCTTATTGAGAAGTTTTGCCATCAGAATTAATTTTAAGTTCTCAAAATAATAAATAATTTCATGCTTGTCTGGTACGAAAAAGAATCTCAGAATTAAATATGTATAACCCCCTTTTTAAGTTATATGGTTGTTCCCTTACGTAATGTTACACGTTACATATCTTTTCCCATGGAGTATAATCTCCGTGAGAATCGGATCCAGATTTTATTTCTCCGCCGTTTGAACCCTCGTGTAAATACTCCACTGGATTCGGACCCCTCAGCAGATTTCGGATCACTCCGCGGAATTCGGATCCCGCAGCAATCATCTCAATTTTATCGAGATAGGTAAATCCCGAGCTAATTCCGAATGATTGTTTAAAGATTTTTCATTGTCTATGCATTCAGGCGTTAATGAAGTAATCGTTGATCAACGGAATATAACGACTGAATTATTCGGGTTAGGTGTATATGTTGTTGTTATAACAAATATGCAAATTTTACATTTTTTAGCTAAGTTTTGTATCGAAGAACGTCGGTAACCAATATGAATTTATTTCTTTCCAAAGGGTAATACATAGCATTACTTCAATTAATTAACATAATTTTGATTTATAATAAGTTAACGCAGTCTTTATATGTCTTTGGTACAGCTAGATACCCAAAATTTTCTCGCTGCGTTGAAGACCAATTGGTGGCCTTCGGCTGTTTTCTGTTCTTTGGTCGGGTTGTTGTCTTTTTGACATATTCCCCATTTCCATTCTCAATCTTATATAACAATTATTGGATGTATCAAACCTTTACTCTTATGCGGGTGTATTTATATTTAGTATCTTTTCAGAAACAGATCAAACAGGTTTTTTTTTTTCGGCAAGCAAAAGAAATAATTTTTTTTTTTTTAATTTAAACACGCTTTAACCAGAAACACTGGACACTTTTAATTTGCAAAACACTCATTTGCAAATCCGCCGCCGCCTCTCCTTAGACCTACAATGTCGTGTATATAACCAAAATGTGCGGAATTACATGGGATTCAATAATTTCATTGCTTTTCTACTGTTATTTTTATATATATTTTGTAATTTGATTTAGAAAAACATGGGATTTTCAATATCCCATGGGATAAGGCAAATCCCATGGGATTGACCATTATCCCATGGGATTTTGGTTAAATCCCATAGGATTTTTTTGGGTCCCATGGGATAATTGTAGTCCCATGGGATATTTGTTGTCCCATGGGACAAAAAAAATCCCATGGGACTATAATTATCCCATGGGATTTTTAATATCCCATGGGACAAAATAAAATCCTATGGAATTCAAATTATAAATATACAGTAATGTGTATGTTACAATGAATTCTGTTTGGTAGTAAAAAGTTTATAATATATATATGACATGTATGAGTGTATTTTGGTTTTTTTCATTTTGTCACAAACATGTTTTTAATTTGTTTATATGACAATAAAGATTATTATTATTTTGGAAAGTATAATACTATTTAAAGTCAAAAAATAAAATCCTTTAACTGAAATAAAATGATGACATGTCTTAATAAAAGAAAAAAATATTGATTTGAAATCTTTGTCTTGTTTGTTTTATTATGAAAAATAGAACTGAAAAAAATATTTCATATTCTGACTGAATAAATTGACAAAGCACAGTTAATAGTTTACTCTTTTCATGAGTTAAAGTTTTCTTTGTTATAGTTCCATTGCAATACATGAATATGCAAACGATTTGAATCTTATACCTTTGTGGTGTTCATAATATTACGCTTATATTTGCAAATTTATATAATAAACACTTTTTCTGTTAAGTTTTAGTTTTTCTTGTTTCAGCTTGCTATGTACAATTATTCAGTCCACTATATAAGAGTCAAGTAAATAAATTATTTCATCCACTAGAATATTCCTACAATTCTAAGACAAAACCTCTTTTGCAATCTGTTCTTCAAAAATCTTCCTCCGTACATCTTTATTGGATGGAGCGATTTAAATAAGTGGACAAAGCAAGTTCATTTGGACAACAAAATACTAATATATTTTTTCCATCCTCCCTTCTTTCAATTGATAATTACGTTGTTGCATTTACATGATTAAGTTCTTGTGCATCTATGATCATGATGATATGACTCCTTTTTGTTTATAGTCATTATGATGAAATTTCCTCTTTCTTATGTAGGAAAAAAACACATTCCATTTCAAATTAATAAAAAAGTCACACTATGTAGAAAAATATCAACTTTAAGTTTTCTGTTCAGTATTGACTTGTTGAATGATGATCATGAAAACCAAGATGTCTGACCTACAAATACACAAAACTCAAAAATTATAAATGAAGAGAAATACAGCAATAAAATGGCTATTTTATCATGTTTATGTACATTTTGATAAAACTTTCATTTGAATATTTAAAATTGTAAGAACTCTTATTTCAGTGCTTTGTGTCTATGGTTTTCATATTAGTTGTTTTGTGTGCCTTGTTGCAGTCTTTTGAGTTAAGCCAATTGCAACAAATGTTTACAGTTTGTTCAAATGTTGTGCTGTTATTAAAACCACTGTCCCAGGTTAGGGGTGGGTTGGGTGCTCACAAAATGTTTATTTTATTAGTTGATATTTGCTTTGAATTAGCTGTCAGTAACTGTGAGTACTTATAGATCTGTATGTTGAGTCTTTTTTGTTAAAGGGAAAGAATAAATTTCCAGCCACATCCGGTCTGTGTTTTTGGTAGCTGTTTTTCTGCTTTGTTGCATTCTAATGAGTTAATAAAATTGAAAATGAAAACGGGAATGTATCAAAATAACCTGACCAAATAGCAGAAAATAGCCCTTTTCAACTGATTTTATAGTTTTTATATTTAAATGAACTGACACTTACACCACTGTCCTTAATTAGAGGAGGATTTGGCGCCAGCAAACATGTTAAACCATGCCACATTTTGTAAGTGGCTGTCCCAAGTCAGGGGCCTGTTATTCAGTGGTTGTCAATTGTTGCTATATATCATATTTGTTTTTTGATTTGTGCAAAAATCAGGCACTTAGCTTTCGCCTTTGTGGTGTTTCACCCAAGCATGTTTAGCATGGATAGACACCATGCCCTTTTTAAATTGTTTTACATTTGTTATTTCATGGCCTTTTATAGATTACTATGCAGTATAGGGTTTGCTCATTGTCGAAGGCTGTACAGTGAACTAATTTTGTTAAATTTAATGTCATTTGATCTCTATTGGATAAAAGTCTCATTGGCAATCATACCGCTTCTTATCTTTATATCAACCCTGCCATATTTTGCCTGTCCAAAATCAGGAGCCTGTACATAGTTCAGTGGTTGATGTTGGTTCACGTCCGTCATATTTGTTTTTTCATAACTTGTTTTTTCTTTATAAATTAGTCTGGTATATTTGAAGTTTGAATTGATGTTTTGTTCCAAATTTTGTTTGTGGTGTCTTTTATAGATGACTATATCATGTATAGGTTATGGGTTTTCTCATTATTTACAGGTCATCATTGGCCTCTAATAAGTAATTGCATTGCTTACATCCACTTAATTGAACTCTGGTGGATAGTTTTCTTATTTATCATACCACATCTTATCATAATAATCATTATTCAAGGGCAATAACTTTTATAGAAGTGGACTTACCATTTAGGCTTTGTTGACGTCTATAAATCTATTTTTGTTGATAATTTCTTTTGTTTATAGTTTCCCTTTATCATTGTTTATCTTTAATGTCCTTGCCCTACACATAAAAGGGTAAACATTATCATTTAATGACAATAACTACTATCACATAATTAGTACTAGTAGGCAACTGACAATTTTGGATCATTTGTATATCTTGTCTTGCTCATCATTTTTGCTGTTTAATATTATCAATATTCTATGACAATGAGGTCACAGTAATATTAACCTTGGCAGACACTGAGATCTTCTTATTTTTATATGACACCTTGTAGTCATTCCATACACCAACAAGTAGACATATGCTTATAATATCTGATAAAATGAAAAAACCAAGAAAACTTAGCATTGACCAAAGAACCATAAAATGCGGTCATGGTTATATGAATCTGTCAGACAGACATGCACACTTTACAATCGTTACATCCACCAAATATAATTTACCTGTTGCTTAAAGCATATGATAAACTGACAAAACAATGCAAACTTTTCATTGACCAATGAACCATGAAAATGAGGTCAAGGTCATATAAAACATGCCAGACAGACATGTGCATCTTACAATCATTCCATTCACCAAATATAGGGGCCTTATTGCTAACAGTATCCGAAAAATAGATCAAACCACAAAAACTAAAAATTGTCCAATGTACTATGAAAATAAAGTCAAGGTAAGATGAAACTTCTCAGTCAGACAAATGCACCTTACAATCATTCCATACACCAAATATAGTTGACCTATTGCTAATTTGAAATTAAGGAAATAGAAAAAGTGACCAAAAAACAAAAAAAATAAAATTGAGCAATGAACCATAAAAATGAGGTCACGGTCGAATAAAACATGCCAGACAAACATACGTCCTTTAAAATTTTCATACACCAAATATACTTGACATGATGCATACAGTATTAGAACAAGAGTGGACACACTGAAATGTCTCGCCTGTTTTAGTGTTCATAATTGAATTTATGTTGAAAGTAAAAAATTTAAGTTTATATAAGCTTTACATTAAATTAACATTTTAAGATGAAACCTGTCAGACAGACGTGCACACCTTACAATCATTCCATACACCACATATAGTTGACCTATAACTTATAGTATCTGAGAAGAGGACCAAACAAGAGCAACTTAACATTGACCAATGAACCATGAAAATGAGGTCAAGGACAAATGACACCTGCCAGACAGACATGTACACCTTACAATCATTCCATACACCAAATATAGTTGACCTATTGCTTATAGTATTAGAAAAACAGACCAAAACACAAAAACTTAACATTGACCATTGAACCATGAAAATGAGGTCAAGGACAAATGACACCTGCCAGTCAGACATGTACACCTTACAATCATTCCATACACCAAATATAGTTGATCTATTGCTTATAGTATTAGAAAAACAGACCAAAACACAAAAACTTAACATTGACCAATGAACCATGAAAATAGGTCAAGGACAAATGACACCTGCCAGACAGACATGTACACCTTACAATCATTCCATACACCAAATATAGTTGACCAATGGCTTATAGTATTAGAAAAACAGACCAAAACACAAAAACTTAACATTGACCAATGAACCGTGAAAATGAGGTCAAGGTCAGATGAAACTTGCCAGACTGACATGTATCCCTTATAATCATTCCATACACCACATATAGCTGACCTACTGCTTGTAGTATCTGAGAAACGGACCTAATCACGTAACTTTAACCTTGATCACTGATCCATGAAATGAGGCTGAGGTCAGGTGAACCCTGTCTGATGGACATGTAGACGTTGCAAAGAACCCATATACCAAATATAGTTATCCTATTACTCATAATAAGTGAGAAATTTACATAACAAAAAAACTAAACTTTTTTTTCAAGCAGTCGCTGAACCATGAAAATAAGGTCAAGGACATTTGACATATGACAGACGGAAAGTTCGTAACATAAGGTATCTGCATACAAAGTATGAAGCATCCAGGTCTTCTACCTTCTGAAATATAAAGCTTTATACAAATAGTTTACGCCGCCGTCCCCGCCGGATAGTAATACCTATGTCTCACTTTCTGCCACTTTCGTCGCAGGTGAGACAAAAACTGGACATTTTTACCACGGAATAGTGATGTCATGGACTAGGAAAATTAATCTGGGGACATAAATTACTGACATCTGACTAAATATACTAGTAAATTCTGTATCCATGGACTTTTAATACTAGTTTTATTTGTCTGACCAGACAATTTTCATTATTTTTACCAGGACTAATTTATCTCTTACACTAGTTCTCAGAGAGACATGTCACCTTACCTTGACACATTATTCTGACTCTGAACAAACCAGTATTTGCTCTTACACCTTAATAATACTGCGTGCTTAAGGGAGAAGCAGCAAATACCAACTTTAAAGTCTTTGGTTTTACCTGGTTGGGTTCAAAATAAACAACCTTCTGCACTTGAGGTGAACACGCTACCACCAGACCAGGCAGTATAATATAAGGAGTTTACCCAAGATTTAAAATGGACAGTAGATTTTTTTTTCAACATTCTGGACATTTCTACCCTTGTCAGATATTGTCTATCTATTTTGGCCTTTTGTAGCTTATTACGCAGTTTGGCTTTTTAGCCCATTGTTGAAGTCTGTACGGTGACCTATATAGTTGTTTACTTCTACGTCTAGTTTCTGTTGAAGAGCCGTCACATTGGCAATGATACCATATTTGTATATATTTTTGTCATGTAGGTGTAAGGAGACAACCTTTTGATATTCTGGTGGGATAAAAAGGGGAGACAGATTTTTTATCACCTGGCCTGGTTAGTTTTTCAGGATTCGTAAGGATAGAAAACCCGGCAAATTGTAACAAACCCCTGTGGTACGACCATATTTGCCAAAAGATGAGTCCAAATAATGATGACGTCTTGCAAGGCTATTTTAACTTTTTCTGGGCACGTAATAGTCAAAGTTGTGACTGAGTGCGGAAATATGAAGATGGATAGATAGAAAAAAAAATTAAAATAGCCTTGCAAGACGTCATAATTATTTGGACTACCAAAACAAAAGATGTAACCTAATTCTTACTTGTTTGGGGAAGAGGGGATTTGTCACGGAATAGAAGTTCCTTCATAATATAAGTTCCAAATGGAAACAATATTCTGGAATATTATTTCCACTGGAATAAATATTACAGTAAATGTTCCTAACGGAATAAATGGTATAGAATATTTGTTCCAACAGGAACAGATATTATGACATTGTTTATAACAAAGTTTCCAGTGGAACTTCTGTTAGGCGGAACAAATATACGTTGACAGATTAACCGAACTACTATTCAATCTAAATCAGTGAACTGAATTATTGTCTTTTGCAGTAGTCCGAGTCGACATCTGTAACTTATCGTGCAAATTGGTAGTCAACAGTATACCTTTTCAGAATGTCAGCTTACAACAAAGAATCACTGGTGATAGGGGAGTGTAACCGATAAATTGATCCTGAATCAGATAAGATTTTCCCAGTAACGGAGAACCCCTTTCTTTGAGTGCATATAAATAGTGACGGGGGTCTCACAAATAAATATAAATCTGCGGCTCTTTTCACAAAAAAATCTTAAAGAGTAAAAATACTCGTAAGTCATACACATTTCAGTATATCTTACGATCAATTTTAGTCGTAGAACATCGATTAGCAAAGTAAACTTACATATTAATCTCGGAGTTATTTACGGTAAAGACAGACACAGTCTGTGCTCCTGAATTAAGGTACATTTGTATATTTTACTTGGGGGGGGGGGGGGGGCACTTCCTATATACAAGATAATAGAACGTGCCGCTGGAATATGTCACTTCTTCCTGCTTGAAAATATGGGAATAGGTGCAGGGGAAAACTATCAGAAACATATGATAAGGTCGATAAAGTTCCAATTACTTGTATATGAAAAGCCCTGTCATTTTTTCACAGCCGAAAGTCTCGCCGTAAGTAAACATTACACACAGAATCTTAGCCTTAAATATTCCACTTTTCCAACACACCCCACGAAACCCAATCAATATGGGAAAAGGTTACAATTTTACCCACGCAATATATGAAAAGGTATACATTTTTAAGATCTAAATTATATGAAAAGGGTGGGGTAACAGAGCCCCAGCGACACCCCCTATCAGTTAAGTATTGAAGTGCCCTCCCCTATAAAACTGCGTCGGTTCATATCGTTTGATTCAACGTTTTTTCTGATATTTTTTAACATAGTCAAATCCGACCTGCCACTTTGCAACCGGACCTGCAAAAATATAATTCGACTAAAAACAATGCCAGTCAAAATTGCTTTTTGAGACTGGGCGACTGAAAAAGTTTTAAAATGTGACCTTGTGACCCTATTTGGAATTCTCCATTCGTCGGTGTGGCTAAAAAGGGGGCATTGTTTTTTTTTCTTGGGACAAAAAATTGTTTCTATCTTTATTAAAAAAAAAATCAAGACCAATCATAAACTTTTTTTTCAAACCTCAGTGTCGTATTTTATTGTTTTCCCAACAATTTTTAATAAAAGCTTAAAATGTTTGTTTCACTTCCCTCTGACTTCCCTCCTTATTTTTTTTTTCTCAAGAAATTATAGAATCGGAAAATGGATATATATATATATATATATATATATATATATGTGGTCACCGTCATGCATTTACATAAGAAATTCCAGCATGCATCATCAAATAATTCATGTGTATTTGTGACATCAACATAACTGAAACATTATATTATTTCCCAGTAATTAGGTAAATCATTATGATTTACAATTATATATGTCTGGGACTTATGCATGTATATGTCTCACAGGCACTTGTCTCAGAAAAAAAAATCCTATATACTTTAATAAAGGTATATAGGAAATAAAATTCTGAGACAAGTGCCTGTGATATATCTGTCAGTCCCAGAATAATAAATATAATTGTATCTTAATCTTTGGAAAAATCCGATTATTAAATTGTTAAATTCTTTTACTTCATCATCATGTCAAAGTATACTTTTTTAAAGTTTTAAATTTTAAAGTTAAAATGAATATTCCGTTTTGATCTGAGGAAAAACTTTTTAAACTGTAATGACATGGTCAGTCAACTGATTTGTTGGCTGATTACAGGTAATTAAAGCATGCAGTAATTTTCCATTACGACAGTGCGTGTACCCTGGGGTGTGTATAGCGTATTAGAAATACCA